ATATTGAGTGAGGGCGGCGTGGCTCAGTGGTAGTTGGATGATTACGAGTTCGAGGCTGACGCACGTCATGATGTTTTGACCTTAAGCAAGACACTACCAAAATTGTTTCAGTCTGACCAGCTGTTAGCTGGGGCTTAAACTACATTGGACTAGCATCCCGTCCCGGGAGGATGGGGGATATTCTCAACTGCTTGTGCCAGAGTTCAGAACCGGATCCTATGTGCCATCTCAGCATGTAAGGGATTTCACCTTTCTTTTTATCTTACTCTCGATTCCAAAAGACGTTAGGCCCGACATGGCCAGGTGGTTAGGGCGCTCGACTCGCAATCTGAGGGTTGCGGGTTCGAATCCCCGTCACACCAAACATGCTCGCCGTTTCAGCCGTGGGGGCGTTATAATGTTACGGTCAATCCCACTATTCGTTGGTAAAAGAGTAGTCCAAGAGTTGGCGGTGGGTGGTGTTAACTAGCTGCCTTCCCTCTAGTCTTACACTGCTAAATTAGGGACGGCTAGCGCAGATAGCCCTCGTGTAGCTTTGCGCGGAATTCAAAAACAATCCAGAAGACGCATTCGTAGATTTAGATTATACAGCTAAATGAAAGACACAATTTTTTAATATTTAGCGATAATAGATTATTTTTTTTACCGGTAAATGTACGGGTGTGTTTATAGGTGAGGGAGTCAAGTGCTGCAAAGAAGAGGAGAGGGTGGGCTACAATACGTTTTAATAATACCTTCGAATGGACGATAAGACACTTTCTACTCGTCATGTGGGAGGAGTAGGAGCCAGAGTGGGAGAACCTCTTCTTGCAATTCGGACACGAGAAAGGTTTCTCTCCACTGTGGATTCGAACATGTTCCTTCAAGTGATGCTTGAACTTGAACGCTTTTCCACACTCTAGGCACTTGTATTTTCGGAGACTGGAACTGACGTCATCACTGTTCACTTGTTTCTGTTCCTGGGATTTCAAAACGAAAGAAACAAAACAATTACTTAACAACTGAAGGCGGAGAAAAAGGTGTATTAAATTTATAGACTGAAACATATGTGAAAATGGAGAATGTTAAGGCAGTTTTATTCTACGTATACAGGTTACATGTTTGAAGTTCGGGTCGTCAAGGGGTTTAAATTAACCTCAGTTCGGGTCGTCAAGGGGTATAAATTAACCTCAGTTCGGGTCGTCAA